CGCTTTCTGATTGCTTGTAGTGGTAAAACGCTTGTCACAAACGTTACATTGGTATGGCTGCTCACCAGTGTGCACCCTCGTGTGTACTGTCAGGTGACTACTCTGGGTAAAATGCTCGTTGCACTGTTTACATTGATATGGCCTCTCACCAGTATGCACTCTCATGTGTACTGTCAGGTGACTTCTCTGGGTAAAACGCTCGTTGCATTGTTTACATTGGTATGGCCGCTCACCAGTATGCACCCTCATGTGGGTTTTCAGGTGGCCTTTCTGGGTAAAATAGTTGTGACATTGTTTACATTGGTATGGTTTCTCACCACTATGCACTTTCATGTGTGTTTTCAGATTGCATTTAAGAGTAAAACGCTTTTTGCATTCTTTGCATTGGTATGCTGGCTGACCAATATGCACTCTCATGTGTCTTTTCAGAGTGCTATTCTGGGTAAAACGCTTGTTGCATTGTTTACATTGGCATGGCCGCTCACCAGTATGCACTCTCACGTGTGTTTTCAGGTGGCCTTTCTGGGTAAAACGCTTGTTGCATTCTTTACATTGGTATGCTGGCTCACCAGTATGCACTCTCATGTGTGTTTTCAGGTGGCCTTTCTGGGTAAAACGCTTGTTGCATTCTCCACATTGGTATGGTTGCTCACCAGTATGCACTCTCATGTGTGTTTTCAGGTGGCTATTCTGGATAAAGCGCTTGTTGCATTGTTTACATTGGTATGGTAGCTCACCAGTATGCACCCTCATGTGTGTTTTCAGGTAGCTATTCTGGATGAGGCGCTTGTTGCATTGTTTACATTGGTATGGTGGCTCACCAGTATGCACTCTCATGTGTGTTTTCAGGTGGCTATTCTGGATAAAGCGCTTGTTGCATTCTTTATATTGGTATGGTTTCACACCACTATGCACTCTCATGTGCGTTTTCAGATTGCCTTTATGAGAAAAACGCTTTTTGCATTCTTTACATTGGTATGCTGGCTGACCAGTATGCACTCTCATGTGTGTTTTCAGACTGATTTTGTGGGTAAAACGCGTGTTGCATTCTTTATACTGGTATGGTGGCTCACCAGTATGCACTCGCATGTGTGTTTTCAGACTTCTTATATTGGTAAAATGCTTGTCACAAGCTTTACATTGGTATGGTTGCTCAGTATGCAAACTGACGTCACTCTGGCGTTGTTCTGTGTTTGACATATTCCTGGTACTCAACTGTTTAATCACACCTGCAAATAATAATATATTATTAAATTATTAAATGCTTCATTATGTATTATATGTGAACAAAGCTGGTTGAACAGGGTCAAATACTAGTATCATTAGTACTTAAATTTTCATTCACAAGGGAAGTTTCAAAAATAATGAGTATTCATTGTCTGAATTTCAGAAACTTGCACAGTTGGCGGCGAAGAACCAATCACAGACCGGTTACGAACCAGTTAAGCAAGGCTAACCGAGTCGTGACCTCGATGTCGTAACCAGTCTTATGATTGGTTGTTGATAAATGCTGAACAGGCCACGCCTCCAACTGTGCCGTTGCGTTCGGGCAAACCTTTAATTATTCGTAAATGGAGTCAATTTGCATAATTTTCTTGACTTATTCTGCAGATATAGGTAAAATATAGGTAAGGCTTGCGAAATTTGAAAGAGCAACTAATAATCTTCAACCTGGTATTTTTTATAGATTTTATTTTACATTCTGTTCGTCTGTTTTTTCCAGTTTAAAAAAATATGAGCTGTCTGGAGCCTTCATCCCTTGTCTATTTCTTACACTAGATACCAGCCGATACACCCCCTCGCTCGCTCATAGGAAGTGCGTACAGTGGATCATAGTTCCTGGGCCCCCTTTGAATAAACTTCAAATCTCTGTTTGCCAGGCCGCAAACAGATATGCCACATCAGGGATTGGCAATGGTTACAAATGTTTAAGAAAAAATAAAAGGTTAACAACAACAAAAATACAAATAAAATAAAACAAAACAAACTGAGCTAATACATTACAAAGACAAAATATTAAGACTAAATTATTATACTATAAAAAAGATAGAAAACAAATGCAAACTTAAACTGTACACGAAGGTTGTCACTGGGGTTGCTGTCTTATTTCAAAACACTTCATTAGGTATCTTGCTACAGGGAGTGTTTGACGACCACTGTTGTTTAGCAAGGCTATGAATTGGGTCTTTGGTGACACATTTTTAAAGTTTTGGATATTGGTTTTTGCCATTTCAAATAAGACATTTCTTTCGGGGGTATATCTTTGGCATGACATCATTAGGTGATACTTCTACCTCGTTCTGATCACAAAGGTTGTATAATCTATTAGCAAGGGGTATTCATTTATATCTGTCAGTCTCAATTTTCAAGTTATGGTCAATGAGGCGGAATTTAGTTAAATTTTCGCGCATCCTGATAGGTCAAGTTGCTAATTAACCAGTGTTTATTGACCTGATAGGTCAAGCTGCTAATTAACCAATCAAAACGCTGGAGCGTGCAAAGTGTTCGAATTACCATAGCTCGGCGACTACAAGGTGAACGCAACACGGAAGAGATTTGGAACATGCATACGTCGGGCCATTGATTTTATACTATACATAAAAATAATAATAATGGTGTCTGCATATAACAATTTAATCTAAAAACAGTCCTGATATTTGTAGTCCTCAAAACTGAGTTTATTACGTGAAACTTACGGAACGTAATGACGTCCTCCGTTTTTTTCACGCAGACTGTAATTAGTTCTTGTGTAAAATTCAGTCGAAGAAGCCCCCCCCTCCCCCGCGCTACTCCTCTCGGAACGTATCCAACGATGCGACAGAAATGCCGCACAATCCTTTGAACCGTTGCCCTCGTCCAACTTTCTCCGTCGTCGATCTATCGCGAGAGGCGAATAATCTCTATCTCAGTGTCTTTATCTAAACGCCTTGACATAATAGCAATAATTGTTGAAATCAGAAACTACATCCAAAACTAAACTGTTCTCACGAGGATAGTTTAGATAATTTTCATTATATATTAGGGGCGTTTGTAAATATTTGTATCAACTTAGGTTTATTATTTTCGCGAAACATTCAAAATAGAATTTATTAAATTAACCAGCATATGTATGCATGAAATAATAAAGTGTCCGATATCAAAAATAAGTAAAACATGATTGTTTGATGAATGTTTGACAGGACGCTTACACGTTGTAATAGTTGAACGGGCCATCTGAAATCATGGTCCGTTGTTTTGATTAACTGTCACGTAGGTGTGTATGTAACTTTATTGCGTCTACAACGGTCATTCGGTGATTACTTACCGGGTGCGGGAGTTAGGTGTATGTAAATATCTTGCGCTCTCGCTGTAAAAGCGATTAGATCGTCATCTTTCCTGAAGATGCTCACACATTGTTAGTTATTGAACTTCCTGATCAAATTATTATGAAACATTTTATTGACTGCTATGAACCAGAAACTCGTAAATTTGGAGATATTGAAATTAAAAGTATTTTTGTACCAGCTGCATACAATACACAATTTTTCAAAAAAATGATTGACAATACCACTAAATATACAAACAAAAGATTTATTGAACTTAATTAACCATCTTTTAAACAGTTGTTGTGTCTGAACTTTCGTCAGTGGTCTATGGATAAACAAGAATTGGCTACATATGGCAATGAAGATATTAATGAACGATACATTAGTCAAGTCATATTTCAGTGAATCAGAAAGAGAGAC